TATATAGTTGGTTGTCTATGCACTAATTGACTCACCGCTCAAAACCTGAGTCGTCTCTTTGAACCCAATATCAATTCAAACTCTATTAGGATTAAATATACACAACCATACATTGATTCTATTAATAAACACATGTTAGTGCATTAGCACTCCAGCTTGCTGCATTGCAAAAGAATGCATTTCTCGAGTCCAAACTAAGTATGCCTGCCAATTTCAACACAAGTTATTTATGCATTTCCCTGATTTCCTCTAGTTTGAAAATTTTTAAAAGAGGATGACACTAAAATGAAATAAGAAGATGCACTCAATACAAAAGCTCAAAATAAAAACATTCTTTTAACAATGCTTTGTCAAAGTGCACTGACCTGAAGATGATTCCCCTCTGACAGTGGAGGGGGGAGAGGGGAACGAAACACGTAAATCATTTTCAAATCCATTCCTTACACTGTTAAAAAAAAATTCTGAATTTTCAGACTAATTTGAGTGAAGTACTTTTACATAAACTCGTTATTAATTTTCAGACTCGTCTTGGTCTAAAAATGAAGTCTTAAAATTCAGACATGGCCAAGTCTTAAAATTCCCACTGCTTTGTAGCTGAAAATTCATACTTTTTGTCCAAAATTTTAGAACATTCTGTGTGAATTCATCCTGCAGCAATCGTGCGGAAAGGGCAGCCTATTGTGGTGGTCTAGACGCTTGTTAGGGCGGACCTACTGGACGGATAAAGATTTTACTCCTGTGAGAGAAAGAGCAAACTTCACAGCGCGCCGGGATTCCGCGCACGATGGACACCATCGCTACTCAAAAAATATCAGACGAGATGGTCCGCAGTAAGACTGAGGCACTCGTCGTTCGAGGGTGAGAACCCATATAGAATCTCCCATGTGTGCCACAACATGACGGTGGATCATGCGGGCACCCAACCTAATGACCGAACGCAGACGCCAGCGAGAGCCAACATTGAAATGCGGTTTTATCGACTTCAGAGTAATATTTTGTTTCAAACTTATTGCTAAAGGCTAGAGCTGATAATTACTAAAGCAACAGATGATGCTGTTTGCAAAAATTATTTACTTTAATGACATTAATCGGAAATACAAAGTGGCGATCTGCCGCGGCGCTCCAGGCGCCACCTAGCGGCAGGTCCCTGAAACGTAACTCCAGGCGGCTGCAAGCAAGTGGACCAAACCATGTGAGAAGTGATTGGTCCACAGTTTGCATTCAACAACAAGCTCCCTCAACATAACAACTGCCAATATCATAATGCTTTGAGGCGCGACGTTTGATTTTGTATATCTGGTTTTGTATTAGTCAGCCTAATCTTAATTTTATGACTTCCCTCATTATGAAATTTCAGACTGGGTACAAATATTCAGACCAAGCACGGTCTCAGACTGCCCTGTCTGACATCTCAGACAAAAGTTATGAAATTTCATAAAAAGGTCTTAATTGGTGTTTCATAACGTCAAGTCTGAAAAAAGTTGTCTGAATTTTCAGAATTTTTTTAACAGTGTATATTTCGCTGTGTTGGTGTTCCAAAAGGGTTTTAATCATTCTAGAATGTTGAAAAACTAAGGTCGATCTCATTTCCAAACCCTTCTGCTCTTTAATTCGTTTTATTTGCTTATTTGCTTATGTCCCGTATTTGAGAGCCGCGGACCCGTAGGTATGAGAAATTGGTAAGCGCTGACGCGCTGCCAACCTAACCAAGCTAATGACCTGATTCAAAAATATGTTTTGAATATTTCAAACGATACTAAACAACGATATGGAACAAACTCGTGTTGGGGGGGGGGGGGGTGCTATGGCGACGTTAAATACGAAATCTTGAAACTATAGCCACTGTAGTTGCTGAGAATCGTTGGTGCGTACAAACAGACAGACGCACGACCAGTCACTTTTCAGCGCGCCCAAACACGGCAAGGGCTTCGCTATCACTCAGCCAATAACAAGGTAGGTTTACGCCAGACCTGGTGTACCTACCTTGGCCTGCGGCAGGCATTGGCTTGCCCATCGTCGGATACTTCTTACGTGTTGCATGCTGGGGGGCTCCGCCCCCCAGACCCCCCTTAATTCTAGGTAGAGTTGCTTCATCTACAGATAACACGATCTTGACCGTTGTCACTTTTTAACTTGTCGAGGCCGGGGGGCTCCACCCCCAAGACCCCCCTTTCTTCAAGACAGAGGTGATCTACCTGCAGAAAACTCGATTTTTCGCCGTTTTTTAGGTGTTTTTCGGCTATAAAAACTGAACCAGTTGAGCTAGGATAGTGAAATTTCGCGTGTGCCGAGCCAAAAACATACCTAATAAGCCTGCAAAATCTCAGCCAGATCGGCCGAGCCGTTCAGGAGTAGTAGTGTACACACACACACACACACACACACACACACACACAAAAACACACACACACACACACACAGACACAGACAGACAGACAGAACTTTTCAACCGCACTGGAGAAACGGGCTTCGCTATCGCTCAGCCAATTAATATTGATTCCCGTTACTCCAGTGCGGTTGAACACTGTTAAAAAAAATCTGAAAATTCAGACCACTTTTGTCAGACTTGGTGGTCTGAATCTATTTTTCAGACTTGTTTCAGACTGCTTGTCTGAAAATTTAGCCTTCCGGTATGAAAATTGCGACCTGATCGTTTCAGAACTTGAATTCAGACCAGCGCAGTCTGAAAAGTGAGATGATTAAGTCTGAAAATTCAGACCAACCCAAGATTTCGTTTGTCCGCTAGATGGCGCGCATGTTGTGGAACATACCTACTTCTGTTTAAAAGGCTTCTAATGTGAAAATATATTAGTTGAAAAGTTCCAAATTGACAAGACTTAATCGGCCATATGAGAACCATTCTCTGCTGCAAGATTTATTGGCTGAGCGATAGCGAAGCCTGTTACTCCAGTGGGGTTGAAAAATTTTTCCTGTCTGTCTGTCTGTCTGTCTGTGTGTGTGTGTGTGTGTGTACACTACTCCTCCTGAACGGCTCGGCCGATCTGGCTGAGATTTTGCAGGCTTATTAAGTATGTTCTTGGCTCGGCACACGCAAAATTTCATCATCCTAGCTCAACTGGTTTGGTTTTTAAAGCCGAAAAACACTTAAAAAACGGCGAAAAATCGAGTTTTCTGTAGGCAAATTGCCTCTGTCTTGAAGAAAGGGGGGTCTGGGGCCCCCAGCCAGGACAAGTGAAAAAGCTACAAGGGTCAAGATCGCGTTATCTGCAGATGAAGCAACTCCATCTAGAATGAAGGGGGTCTGGGGGGCGGAGACTCCCAGCATGCAACAAGTTAGGAAAATCGACGATGGAGAAGCCATTGCCTGCCGAAGGCAGGCTAGCGCCGCAGGCCAAGGTAGGTACGCCAGGCGCGGATTGGAGAAACAGGCAGCGAGACATCGCGAAGCCTGTTACGACAAGACGCGGTCTGGCGTAAACCTACCTTGTCTCCGTAATATGGGTGGGAGTTGAACAATCCACATTTTAATTTACCTCTCGCGGGTGACTCCGTGTCGCCATTTCCTAGGGTGCCACAGGCAGGGAAAAGTGCAGAGGATCTTCTCCGTCAACACAATTTTTTACTCAATGTTGTCCTCTCTGGAGGTTCACACACACCTGAGATTCTGTCTGTCATATTCATCATGTCACGAACCTTTCAGTTAACAATTTTCATACAGGACTGGATTTTCAGACCACCAAAGTCTTAAATGTAAGACTCTCCAGTTCTGAATTTTCAGACCATCTAAACGGTCTGAATTTTCAGACCTCTCAAGTCTGTTAATAACTTCTGACCAATTTAATCTGAATTTTCAGACTTTTTTTTTAACAGTGACAAGTTTTGTCTGTCTGTCTGTGTGTTTGTGTGTGTGTGTGTGTGTGTGTGTGTACACTTCTCCTGAACGGCTCGGCCGATCTGGCTGAGATTTTGCAGGCTTAATAGGTATGTTCTTGGCTCGGCACACGCGAAATTTCACTATCCTAGCTCAATTGGTTCAGTTTTTATAGCCGAAAAACACCTAAAAAACGGCGAAAAATCGAGTTTTCTGCAGGTAGACCACCTCTGTCTTGCAGAAAGGGGGGCCTGGGGGGCGGAGCCCCCCAGCCTCGACAACTAAGTTAAAAAGCGACAAGGGTCAAGATCGTGTTGTCTGCAGATGAAGCAACTCTATCTAGAATTAAGGGGGGTCCGGGGGGCCAGCATGCAACAAGTAACCGACGATGGACAAGCCAATGCCTGGCGAAGGCAGGCTAGCGCCGCAGGCCAAGGTAGGTACGCCAGGCGCGGATTGGAGGAACAGGCCGCGAGACATCGCGAAGCCTGTTACGACAAGACGCGGTCTGGCGTAAACCTTGTTTTTAATAACTTAAGAATATTTTGTAAAAATTTCAGATAATTTTGTAATTTTGATGATTATTTTATGTTAAATGAGAATATTAATAAAGAATCATTTGGTTCAAGCGTGCAGGGATACAGTGAGCCACTGCCGAGCAAACTTCACAATTTTTTAATTGGAAAAAATAAGTTTTTTTTCTCCATTTTTTACCATTTTAAGGTAAACAATTTAAGAAAGTTGATAGATATTTGAAAAAAATCTCTCTGTTACATTGTCACATGGACCACAAAGAACTACTCCAAGAAGTATGGTAAGTATAAAACAAAACTGTATGCGTGGCTAGTTGACGGAGTAGAAACAAATTTCTTTGACACTTGTAAGAGTTGCGTGACCAGAAAAGGCGCATCACTGTTCGGGCCGACATTACATCTCCGCCTGATGTACAGAGTAGGAAGTACGCTGTTCGTCCTTGCGAGATGCACGTCCCATACAAGTGACCCAGTACACCCTTCGTTCCAGGGGCATGCCATGTAATGATTATTCATCCCTGCAGCGGACAGGGATCGCGCGCGGCGTGGTGAGGGCCAGCAGAGGCCGGAGTGGGGGTACGTCCCCCGACCTCCCCGCGCCCCGCCATCAGCGCCGGCCAATGAGGGGCTAGCGTGAGCTAGCGCGGACGACCGTTCAAATAAACCGCCCCGGTTAGGTTGGCAGCATTTTGGTGTTATTAAGTTGGCTCCTCTTTCCGACTGTCTTGTGTCTTGTCTTTGCGCGCGCTCTGAGCGTTTCTGTCTTTGTTTCTGTGTTATACTTCGCTCGAACTATGTTGTTTCCTTGTGCTGACAAGAACAATGGATGGAAGAGAAACAAATTTGAAGCACGGGTGCTCTCTTCAACTGGGAATAAATAGGTAAGTTTTGTTTGTACTTGGTAATACATATTTCAACGGTGCCCGGGTGCCGCGGCCCGTAACCTAACAAGGTCGGCACCCAAAACCCAACATTATTGCCGAAATTCTGTAGTTGTAAACTCACGGTGTTTCCCGGCCCTTTTCGTGTTCGGCACTCGCATAACAAGGGTTATCTACATAGCCCGCAAGTTTCGCTGATGATAATTGGAAGTTCTGTAATACTTTGCTACCAGTTCTGAGGTTATGGACTCAAATGTACATACAGCCTACAAAGTCCCTTTTTCTTTCTTTGAACCGTTCATTGCACGCGAGAAGACACCAATGCTATCCATCCAAAATTTGTATACATTGTCCATTTCATCAGTTGTTTATCTTTTATTTCACATGTTTCAGAGGGACCATGAAGAGACGGCAGAGAAACTTTGCCTTCATGATGATTCCGAGCCGAACATCTTTTCAAAATGAATCGGCATCAGAAACAGAACTTAATAATATGATTCTTCTAGTCTCTTAGTTGTTCTCAAAGTCTGCAACTCAATTTAATGTAGGTAAACATCATGTCATAGCTACTTGGTTGGTTTATATATTTGTTGTTAGTTTTATTTTATTTTGTTTGTTCCAGAGAAGCAATCAAGATGTGGGATGAAACTTGGACTACGATTGAAATTCTGAACTCCAGATTTGACTTTTTAGTTGCTCGTCACAGCTACTTCACACTATATTTGTTTCGTTTTGTACTCTGATAGTGTCCAAAAGTCTGAAACTTGAGTACATCTTCTTTTGTGGGCCACGTTGACATGTAAGTTAACTCTACTCTTATTTTACCATAACTGAGTTAGCTTGTGTATTTGTTGTTAATTTTATTTTTATTTTTCTTGTTCCAGACAGCAATTATGATGTGGGATGAAATTTGGACTACGATAGAGGTTTCGGACCCACAATATGACTTTTTAGTTGCTCGTCCCAACTACTGCACCCTAGATTTGTTTTGTTTTGTGCTCAGACAGAGTCCAAGAGACAACAACTTTAGTACATCTTCTTTTGTGGGCCATTTTAACATGATGTAAGTACACTTTACTCTCATATTATCATAACCTACTTAGCTTGTGTATTTGTTGTTAATTCTTATTTTTTTTTGTTCCAGACAAGCGATTAAGATGTGGGAAGAAACTTGGACTACGTTTGATTTTGGTTCAGTTCTGAGTTGATTTTGGCACCTACTGAACATTGTGTGTGATATTTAACTTAAAACACTGTTGAGTATGCTTTTCTATTTTAGCTTGAATCAGTGATTAATTTGTTGTATTTGTAAAACTTAAATTTAACATGAAGCTAAAATCCAAGAATTTGTGTCACAGCTGTTAGGTAATAATGAGTGTATGTCACATCACCTCATATTTAAATAAAAGCATTTTTAAAAAAAAATCAAACGTTTGAACCATTTCCCTTTTTTCTGCGCAACCGAAAGGAACATTTCTTGTACATCGGAGAGGAACGGTACGTGCAACCGAGACGAACGCACATCATACTTCTGGCAAGTACAGTCCAGGCAGGGATGTCCCGGACAGGGAGCGGGAGTGGGGGGCGGTCCGCGCCGGCTGAGAGTGGTGGGGGGCCTGCCGCGGTCGGGACATCGAGGAACAGACTCCTGATCCATGCTACTCGGATGGCACACCATCGTCCACTTGCCCTGGACGATGGTGTGCCATCTGGGCTAGAATGGGGTTCGGACATTTATGTAGGGTCGGCCCGAACAGTGCATACATCAGTCCATGTTAGATGTACCACTCACTTAGGGGTTTATAACAAAGACCTTTAGTACATGCTGTCGGTAATAGAAGAATATTTTACATTAAAATAACAAGTCGATTAAATTTATCATTTTAATCAATTTTGGTGCAAATTTTCACCCACACCTCACCTTAAGGCTGGTTAGCCACTGTGGCGTGTTGGGAGACGTGCCCTGCATACAGTGCTGAAGCGTAGTGACGCGCGGGCCAAAATCAGGCTTCCAAATGGCTTTTAATCATCCTGGCGCCAACAGTGTTGGCTACCGAATTTGGTCAAGACCGGAACACGGGAAGTCCTCGGACGGACGGACGGACGCACGCACGGCAGGGATCACACTATATGCCCGTCCCTCCGTCAATTTTTTTACAAAAAATAAACGGGACGGGCCAAAAAAATGATTGCTTGGTACGGGGGACGCCACGACGCTGTTTTGAGCGAAATTCGAACATGCTCGAAATCCACCCCAGCGGGGGGTGGGTTGGTTCAAATTGAATTCCGCTCCGCTTGCATCGTTAGAAAGAGGAGACTCATTTGACCCCGTAAACTAAAACTTTGGACTCTGCGATAAGGTAAAGTTGGTCTTTACGGCACGTTTTCATCGTTTTTTTTTCACCCTTGCGCACTTACGGGTGGTTGCCGTCCGTTAGGGGAGGTGCACGGGCCACGCGCTTCGCAGGCCTCGAGATGAGTGGTGGGAGCACCCGTGTACAAAATTTCAGCTTCCCAGCTCAAAAGACTTAGAAAATATTACGATGACTAAAAGCATTCCGCTAATTTTTGTCGGGAGTGTAGAATGCACTACTCGCCATGCTCCTTGGAGCTGGTTTTGGCGAATGTATTGAGTACGTGCGTGCATTGGCTCATGTCTCTTACATTCCGGCTCTTTTAGCACACACAGCTCCTTGCATGTCTTTTTTACAGACCCAGTTACGTGATCAAGACCATAAAGCATGCGCGGGACTTCATCTCAGACTCCCTTCTCCATGGTTTAAAATGTATATTTCATTCTAGTCCAAATTTTCTAACAGCAGCCTCACTGAGAATCCAAACGCTATGAGTATCGCGTCAATTGGTGCAATGCAAAAGCATTGCACATGAAGTGCAATGCCTCCCATTTCCCATGCATTAGCATAGGGCCTTTTCGGGAAGCATTGCACCAAAGGTGCAATATGGCTGTGGCATTGCACGTATGGTGCGATATCACAGCGCATTGCACCATACGTGCTATACTCATAGCGTTTGGAATCTCAGTGCTGTTTCTTTTCTTCTCATGTTATGAACTTTATGGAGAGGTCATTTAGTCGTCGTTGCGCTTGCAGCCAGATTTGTTGGTGAGAGGCTTGGGGCATCGGACACGCTCGAATTTGACGGCAGGGTTGTCGGCATTCTTGAACCAGTCGAAGCGGAATTGGCAACCCTTGACCAGATCCTTAGGCAGGCCACTGCACTTGGACCTGAACAGAACAAATTCGAGTCAGTTTTAGCCTTATGAGCCGGTCGTGACGAAGGTCAACGCAATTTTTCTCAAAGCAACCAAACTGCGCGAACGCACTGATAATCCAAACGCTATGAGTGTAGCGTCAATTGGTGCAATGCAAAAGCATTGCACATGAAGTGCAATGCCTCCCAATTCCCCTGCATTAGCATAGGGCATTTTCGTGACGCATTGCACGTAAGGTGCAATATGACTAAGGCATTGCACGTATGGTGCGATATCTCAGTGCATTGCACCATACGTGCTATTCATAGCGCTTGGAATCTCCGTGCACCATTCCCAGCACATTCCTGGGGAACTATGCATAGGTGCACACAACTGTGACGGTCCGTCACCAAAGCCATCATTCCTAAAACCGGTGTTTATAGACAGCGGGAAAGCAACTTTGAACCTTTACATTAAATTTAAATATTCGCTAATTTCGTTTGTGTCCATCCCAGTTGGGGTTAAAATGATTGTAATTTCCGTCATAAGCACCATTAGAAACATGAAACCATATCATGTAATGCTAAATATTCAAATTATAATTTAAAGTCGCCATAATTTCATACAATTTGGTCAGATTTCTTCAAAATTCAAGAAATTTAACTGAAGCACAAAGAAATTCTGAAAGTGTCAGTGAAGCTCGTGCCGAAAATCATGGGAGTTCGACTAACATCACGGTAAAAACGGTACCTGTTTTTCTCAGGAACCCTACGGTAGAGACATAAGCAATTTCCAGGGAGTTCCTGGGAAAACCAGGAACCGGTTTTACCGTGATTCATTTAAGTTCATCCGAAGTTAAAATATTACTGCACTGAAAGTGCACGAAACACTAACCATGTATTTTTATCTTTTTATTTTTCGTGACAAATTTCGTAATATACGGATATCGCCTTACCTCTTGTCGACGCCGCCGTTCTGCGCTCCCCAGTTCACTGCTGGGGTCGTAGGCCATTGCTTGGGGCAGCCGGCAGTGAAGATTCCAAAGCCACTCCCGGGGATCTGCAGGTCGAACTGGTTGCTGCAGGACGAATATTCAACGTAAGGGCACAGTGCTCATCGAATTAAGGGTGTGTGTGCAGAAAACTGCAATTATCTTCGGCAACGGAAGTTCCAAGGTGAAAATCTGAAACCATGAATAACAAACCCCAGAGCCGTATGGGGTCTGGACTTAGTCCGCCCACTTAATGAAAAACTCAAAAGTCCTCATTCGGGACAAATTTGTCCCTTTATAAGTTTCGGCAATTTCTCGACATCAAAACAGCATGCGTTAAAGGGTCAAGAGTTCAGACTTTGGGCGGGACAGCCGGTTAGCGCGACTCCAGACAAATTCCAAGGGCCCGCCTTGTTTTTGGGGTGCACTTCCAAGGGGACGCCTTGGTTGGTCTCTGCCGTTTCAAGAAACCGCCTTGTTTGTCCGCAAAAGCTCGAGTTACGTCGTCGACCACGTCATGAGGTCCCCGATGACGTCCCCCTGGGGTTCACCATTACGACCCCCATGTTTCTCCGTGCCGTTGAGGCTGCCGGGTCTCACAGTGGCCAACGCCGAAAACCGTTTTCTTCCACGTCCAGTACTTTCGGAGATACGAGGACGTACCACGAGGCCGCCGTCCAGGCGGAGGAGGAAGTGGTGATTTTTTCGAGGCCAAAGTAGCTCTGGCCAAGAGCCTACTTGGTGTCCGGGACTTTTGACTTCGGAATCGGGTTAAGGGGGTGCCGGCCCACCTCAAAACCAAATTTGGTCAAGTTCCGGCCAGCCGTTTGTCCAGGATGGCGACAAACATCATCCAATCAGCAATATAGGTCCAAAAATCCAGCTGTTTGACGCCATCCTGGACAAACGGCTAGCCGGAACTTGACCAAATTTGGTTTCAAGGTGGGCCGGCACCTCCCTAACCCGATTCCGAAGTCAAAAGTCCCGGACACCAAGTAGGCTCATGGCCAGAGCTACTTTGGCCTCGAAAAAATCACCACTTCCTCCTCCGCCTGGACGGCGGCCTCGTGGTGCGGCCTCGTGGTACGTCCTCGTATCTCCGAAAGTACTGGACGTAGAAGAAAACGGTTTTCGGCGTTGGTCACTGTGAGACCCGGCAGCCTCAACAGCACGGAGAAACATGGGGGTCGTCATGGTGAACCCCAGGGGGACGTCATCGGGGACCTCATGACGTGGCCGACGACGTAACTCGAGCTTTTGCGGACAAACAAGGCGGTTCCTTGAATCGGCAGAGACCAACCAAGGCGTCCCCTTGGAAGTGCACCCCAAAAACAAGGCGGGCCCTTGGAATTTGTCTGGAGTCCAAGAAAACAAGGGACTGGCCTTGGAAAACAAGGGAGCCTCCTTGGAATGGGAGCACACTTCCAAGGAACTTCCTTGAAGTGTTCCATCTTTCCTTGTTTTTCAAAAACCGTCCTTGTTTTTCAAGGAGTCGCGCTAACCGTGCCCGCACTGTTAAAAACACACTGGAAAAAAGAAGGCGAAATGGTATGACCCTCTGTTATCAAACGTAATCAGTACGCTTGAAATCAAGCGAAAAAGGATCATCCACCAACCCTCCCAATTCCCTCCTGGGCCGTGCAGTCATAATACTTACACTGCAAATCCAAGTGTAGGACAGGTCGACACTTTAAAGAGTAGACCAGTTTGTCCTACGCTTGCAAGTGTCGACCAGTTGTGTCCTACGCTTCGAAGTGTCGACCACACTGTGTCCGATGCCTGCATGTGTAGGACCAGGGGGTGGCAACAGCCTAGTGCGCGCGTGAAGCTATGCGCGCCGCTCGGGCCGGCAAGGACCGGCCGGGCGGCTGGGCCGCGCGGCCGAACCAAATTAAACAGAACTTTGTCAAAACTGCATCAAACTGAGTAAACGAGGTCATTTTTAGATTCTACGCAAAATTTCCTAACCGTGAGTGACAATGGAATGGACTTTTGGATATGTGAAACAGTTCTAAAATCGATTTGAAAACCAAATTTACGGCACCAGACAGCCGACTTGAAGTTTCCCTTTCACTAAAAAAGCTATTTCCGTTCGTTTTAGGTCCATACATACAGCAAGCCGGTTGTTGGCCACTATTTTCCGGGTTGCGTGGTACACTTGGAACGCCAATACGACTTCTGTAGCAGAAATGCCGATCCAAAAACTAATTTCCATTTTTGGTCCAAAATTGTATTTTGCAACTTTGGAGGTTAAAAACACAGTTTGAAATAGGTTTCTCAGCATTGTCAACCTCACTAAGCAACCCAGAATTCAATTCTCTATCGCCCTGCTGTGTTGGATTTGCGAAAGGAGGTCAAACTTCTAATTGAAACGAAAAGGCCCGAAGCGCTGCAAAACCGCCAAAACTGTTCAAGTATTTTGTGGAGCTTAATGTGTGAAAACTATTTCTCAGATTGTAGGCCAGTCAATTCTACAGCTCCATTACAAGTTTCATCGCAATCGGAGACCAAGAGTGAAGGCGGCAGAATATATTTTAAAGTTAGCTGCAAAAATCTGCCGCAGCGATTTCTCATACTTGCGCCCGCTCGACCAATCAACCAAACTGATGGGATTTACAATTATTATAGCTGTCTTCACTCTTGGTCTCCGATTGCGATGAAACTTGTAATGGAGCTGTAGAATTGACTGGCCTACAAGGTGGTGTGGTTGGATTTACAATCTGAGAAATAGTTTTCACACATTAAGCTCCACAAAATACTTGAACAGTTTTGGCGGTTTTGCAGCGCTTCGGGCCTTTTCGTTTCAATTAGAAGTTTGACCTCCTTTCGCAAATCCAACACAGCAGGGCGATAGAGAATTGAATTCTGGGTTGCTTAGTGAGGTTGACAATGCTGAGAAACCTATTTCAAACTGTGTTTTTAACCTCCAAAGTTGCAAGATACAATTTTGGACCAAAAATGGAAATTAGTTTTTGGATCGGCATTTCTGCTACAGAAGTCGTATTGGCGTTCCAAGTGTACCACGCAACCCGGAAAATAGTGGCCAACAACCGGCTCGCTGTATGTATGGACCTTAAACGAACGGAAATAGCTTTTTTAGTGAAAGGGAAACTTCAAGTCGGCTGTCTGGTGCCGTAAATTTGGTTTTCAAATTGATTTTAGAACTGTTTCACATATCCAAAAGTCCATTCCATTGTCACTCACGGATAGGAAATTTTGCGTAGAATCTAAAAATGACCTCGTTTACTCAGTTTGATGCAGCTTTGACAAAGTTCTGTTTAATTTGGTTCGGCCGCGCGGCCCAGCCGCCCGGCCGCTCCTTGCCGGCCCGAGCGGCGCGCATAGCTTCACGCGCGCACTAGGCTGTTGCCACCCCCTGGTAGGACACTGTTTGTCCTACGGCAAATTACACTGAGTTTCCCATTGTGACCCCACACTTCAGCCGTCGGACATTCTGTGGTCGACACTTGCAGGTGTCGGACAGTGTGTGGTCGACACTTCAAAGCGTCGGACACTACTGGTCGACACTTGCAAGCGTAGGACAAACTGGTCTACGCTTTAAAGTGTCGACCTGTCCTACACTTGGATTTGCAGTGTAACTCGTTCTCAGAACTTTAAGGGGAGGTTCTGGTGAAAATGCTATTTTCTCCTAAATAGGTCCCACTGTGAAAATTTGTTCAAAATTTGATGTCTTACCAAAGTAGTAATTAAAATTTTTCAATGGAGAGGCACATTCTGTGCGCTGAACCCAGTCGCAGATCCGTTTTCTCCTTTTAAGGCTATAACTTTAAAAATCTTCTTGCGCATACTATTTTGTCGTAAAAGGTTGGCCTTGACAGTTTTCACTTCTTCGATTTAACTCAAAACGTAAATTACATTTTTATTCGCAAGCTTTCTAACCAAGCATTTCACTATTATTGACCAAAGATGTACAAAATAGACAAATTTTAGAGACTTTTCAGCTTAAAAAGCTTACAATTAATAATGTTATGGAAATTTTGAGCTATGCATTCCGGCATCTTTTGAAAATGAATCAAAGAAGTGAAAAATGTCAAGGTCAACCTTTTACGACAAAATAGTATGCGCAAGAAGATTTTTAAAGACACAGCCAAAATAGGCTCAAAAAGACTCTTCGACTGGGTTCAGAGACTGGCATGTGCCTTCAAAGGTCAAATTTAAGTCTCCTCAAAGAAACATTTCATATTCCGAACAAACTGTGACAGTGGAATCCATTCGGAAAATAGCGAGATTTTCACCAGAACCTCCACTGAGATTCCAAACGCTATGAGTATAGCACGTATGGTGCAATGCGCTGTGATATCGCACCATACGTGCAATGCCACAGCCATATTGCACCTTTGGTGCAATGCTTCCCGAAAAGGCCCTATGCTAATGCATGGGAAATGGGAGGCATTGCACTTCATGTGCAATGCTTTTGCATTGCACCAATTGACGCGATACTCATAGCGTTTGGATTCTCAGTGATCCCCTTACGATACAAACCTACCATGATTCAGAGGCATTTGTTCTTGATATTAATAGGATTTGGGGTTCGCGAGAATGAGGAGAGACTCCGGAGTGTGCTGGGCAAGTGAAGTATTCGGAAACGGGAGAAAAACAAGGCAGAGGCAGAGCCTTGTCCGTGAATAAATGTAGGAATCGGGGAATCGCCCTAGCAGCAGAGAGCGCCCCGGCGCTACCAACAGCGCGGCATCAAAAACCTAACGATATGAACAAACTGGTCACAGGTAAATGAGAACCCTTCACCTTAGGTTACTACCTTCCTTATACTAGTCATTATACTAAGCTTTTTGTTCATGGTAATAAGAAGACAAACCCCAGTAGGATCTTGGGGGTGAAGATTCCTCCCATCTAAATGCTTGGGGGAATTTCTAGTATATGCTTCATATAAGCGAAGCGTCTTCAATCGTTGCATTATGCTTGACTCAAGCTTAGGGTTACGCTTATGCTTTACCAGTGACGTCACCGATTTACTACATTCGGTTTCAAATACACGTGCACGATTTCAGTTTTGGTCGTTTAGACACACAATCTGACACACTGACTTACGAGGCCAAGTCGCTACCGGTGTTGATGACCTGGACGATGAGGTTCTTGTTCGCGACCGCCGTGTTAGTGAAGGTCAGTTTGTAGCAGGCACAGCACATTGAGGTCATGGGTAGGCCTAGGGCATATGGAATTTGGATCAGCTGCAGGTATGCAATAGCTCAATTGCTCCTCTACTAACAAGGTAGGTTTACGCCAGACCGCGTCTTGTCGTAACAGGCTTCGCGATGTCACGCGGCCTGTTCCTCCAATCCGCGCCTGGCGTACCTACCTTGGCTTGCGGCGCTAGCCTGCCTTCGGCAGGCAATGGCATGTCCGTCGTCGGTTACTTCTAACTTCTTGAATGCTGGGGGCCCCCGCCCCCCAGACCCCCCTTCATTCCAAGTCCCTTGTAACTTTTTAACTTGTCCGGGCTGGGAGGCTTCTTCAAGACAGAAGTAATCTGCCTGCAGAAAACTCGATTTTTCGCCGTTTTGTAGATGTTTTTCGGCTATAAACACTGAACCAGTTGAGCTAGGATAGAGAAATTTCGCGTGTGCCGAGCCAAGGACATGCCCAAAAAGTGTGCAAAATCTCACCGAGATCGGCCGAGCCGTTCAGGAGGAGTAGTGCGGACACACACACACAGACAGACAGACAGGAAAAACTTTTCGACCTCAATGGAGTAACAGGCTTCGCTATCGCTCAGCCAACAAAATATGATAAGACTTATTCAACGTCTGACACCTGGAACGCTATTCAGTACAGCAACCAAATAGACGATTCATGATTTGTGACAGAAAACTTTAGCGAGCCCTTTTAGTCATGCCACGATTTCGCTCTGTCGCACCACTGTTGAGTCAAAAAGTTCCCACAGTAATTGCCACACTGAAAATCAAATAGTGATACACTCTCAGACTCGTATTGACTATTTATCTCTTGCCATGAAGGTTTTTGTGCAACCGTAATATGTACTATTTTCTCTTTGGCTATGCACTATTTTGTTCATTGTGTAATGTTTTTAGTCCATTAAACCGGACTTCTTGTCATTTGCAATGTACTATCCAGTTTCTACGTAATCTATTGACAATAATATGCTGAAAACGATCAAAATTGTGCATTAGGGAGAAACTTGCTCAAAAAAACGCTATAAGCAAAAGAGAAAAAAGTTCATATTGTTCTGAGCGTGTACATCTCACTCTCTGACAGGGGAGCCAGAACTGTCTCGTCGAAAAAGGGTGATACTAAAAAGTATAACGGAAGTAAACGTCGCACATAAATGTATCGCCGAAAAGAAGATCGTACACAACCCCATGGGAGCAGCCACGTATCATCCACGTAGAATCCACGTTAGACGGGTGGATTTAGGTAAAAAATCAATTGTGGGTCACGAATCAGTTGTGGGTCATTTTTTTCGACGGTTCACCGCAACCCCGGCGGAGATTGAATCGATTTGAATTTCGCGGTAGACCTTCCTCCAACCTTTCTTTGTCTCCCCAAATAGCGTGTATGTCCGAGCGACGACTGTAACAGCTCCTATCAGGCTTCAAAGGAAGGCCCTTCAAAAAGTCGCGAAAAAAGCGCCCATCCAACGAGCCGAAAAATCGTTTGTTTTTCAAATTGCCGCCGTGAAGCTATTACGAGGTAAAACGGGACGTCCTTGCTTTGCTGATTTAGGTTCATAATAGGTCAGGGAACATAAATTTACCATAGTACAGCCGAAATCATTCGATGCCATGGTGCGCGGGTGATGGCAAAGTAGCGTTCGCCACCATGTCCGACCCATTATTTTTGACGAATTTTGCGGTAGTTTTTCTTATATTTTTTGTTTTTTGCGCCTCTGAATGACTGATGTATCACAGTAAATTCCATTTTTCTGCTCAGTCACATATAGCACTACGATACGAAGGTTGTTAAGCTTAGGCTACAGCCCCGAATGACAACGCTAGCTCTTACTTCCAGTCCGCCATAAGGCTTTTTTTGTTGGGAAGGGGGCATTGCGGGGCTTACATAACGCCCGAAAGGGGACCGCTCTCTAACTGCAGGCTAGGCAACCGAGGCCAGTACGGCCCTGTAGGAGTCAAATCAATCCCTTCAGACTAAATATTCTGACTGAAATAGATTACAAACTGTAGCAATACCTCACGATGACAGGGTGTGGTGTTGGATTGTCTACCACGCCGGCGGCCCTAGAATATGCACTATAAAAGTTTCGTCTCTAGTCCAGGACGTTTAACTCACATCTGTCTCACAGTGAAATAAGCCTGTTTATGTCGGTTTATGTATGTTTCCTCTTTGAGTGAGAAACGTGCCTGCTTGGTTTATTGAGAACCAGGGACCTTTTATTAATAAAAATAAGAAAATATCTTGCAAAAGTGGTCAATTTACAAGCAAAAAGACGAAACGGCCCACAATTGATATGACCCAGAATTGATTCATTGTGCTACAGATCCTGCAGTTTTCACGATTCCGAAAAATAAATTCAAAAGTGAATTCCTCTCGCATTTAAGCAAATCATATCCAAATTTGAGCTTTCTACAATGCTGACCCACAACTGGTTCCAAAAATCAATTGTGCCAAAACAGACTATTTTTAAAACAGCCACAGCTTAGTAAATATGGATGATAGACGGGGCTACTATGCTGCAAAACGTAGTCCAAGGACCATAGTTAAAGGCCGCACATGCACTTTTGTCACCAGGTCAAAATTAAAGGCCTTAATTTGGAATTTTCAAAAATGTGACCCACAATTGATTTTTTACCTTAGGTCGATAGCATTTTCCACGTGACTTTCACGTTGATTTACCATCGATTTATGCGCCTATTGGTCTATAGTAAACCAATGTTGACTCTACGAGGATAGTCAAACGGTTTTGATGGACGCTGTGTCTACGTCGATAATAAGGTGACTTTGTGACGAGTATCCAGAGTGTGGATTGAGCGTCTCAACTTTCCTACACGATCTCGATGTCGATCACACGGATCCAAAGTTACTGAAGCATGGTTGTCTGTCTATGCCGGATTCATCTGAGTAGATTCGGACTTCCACGTGGATTCATCGAAGATGCGAGAACTTTAGATCTCGATTTGTTTTGAAAGCTGCTGACGGAGGGCCTGCTGATATCCTTATCATTCCTTGCCCTCTCGACCTGCAAGTAGGATGCCAATTCTCCTTATCCCAGAGCCATATTACCAAGCGCATCGGCCAACCGAAGTGGACTTGGTGTAGTCTTTGTAGGATATGTCCCGATCTCGGGAGAACTTCCTACCACGAATGCAGGGTTAGGTTAATACATGTTTTCACATCTATTATCGACTCAATGAAATTAAGCTTCACCATACTCAGAATGACCGGTGCGCGCCTCGATGTGACATGGATGATAGGTGAATAAGACGAGTTGCTGAATCCATGTTTCATCCACCTAGTTTGACTTGGACGTTTTTACTTGATTGTCGAGTCGACCATCCACGTCGAACTCACGTAAATTCAACGTTGAGTTCACGTCTTATCCAAGTGGATGGGGTCATTGGGGTAAATGTATCACCGCAAGAGGGTCGTACACGAATATATCATCGAAGGGTGATACTTCGGTGATACTGGGCTAAAAAGACAAGGGTCAGTCTCGCTGTTGTGTACGACCTTTCTCCGGTGATAATTCGTGTAGGACCTTTTTTTCGGTGATACGTTTTGCACCGCCGATGTCTCACCCTTTGAATTTCAGTGCACTCACCATTGACGTTGGCGGCGGCGAAGGCGTAGGCCTGCCCGTTCTTGACGAAGGGCCGCTGGTCGTTGCACACGTACGCGTTGCCGCCGTTGCAGCCGCTCTGCGTGTTGGCGTCGATGGTCTTCTTGCCGTCGGCGGCGCACGACCTTGCTGGGGCCGACACGGCGCCAGTGTTGGCGCTCCACGCGCACGACGTCTTGCAGCAGTCCCAGTAGCGCGTCGTCTTGCCCACGCCGGAGCCGTTGGGGTACTGCGTCATACCAGGAAATTTTTACATAACCACTCAGAAAACCTTCAAACTACTTCAGGCCTAACACAGAAATGTAGCTTGTTAGAACAAAGTATTTTACGACGAAATTACTTCGTGATTTAAAAACTGTTTCTTCGTATGGCAAACTGAATAGTTACTACACTACTAACCTAACTGTCTACTAAGTACACACTTACAAATGCATGCTTGCAAGTGCACACTTACAAACGCATGCTTGGCCAAGTACACACTTATAAATGCATGCTTGGAAGTAAGGAAGTATGGGGCGATTTGTAACGGGTGATTCGTAACAACTGCGTTTATTAATTCAAGTGGAGGGAGCAGAGGAAAATCTGAGTATGGCCCCTCTTTCGCTTCAAGTACAGGGTCCTTCAACAATCGAAGCGGATGTGATCTGTGCTCAAGTATTGTTTTGGAGAGCGTCTGAAATATAGGGTACACCGAAAACAGGAAAATCTTTTATTTTGAGTTCTAGGAAGTTTCTTTCTGAGGCTCCCCAGGTATGAATAGAGTACTCCAAAGAAGCTCTGGCCCGGAAGAAGAAGAACAAAAACGGAAGTAAGAAATTGCAGTTTCTATGAGAAATATACGCTGCCGACCCTCATGCGCAGCGTATATTTCTCATAGATACTGCAATTTCTTACTTCCATTTTTGTTCTTCTTCTTCCGGGCCAGAGCTTCTTTGGAGTACTCTATCACCATCAAAGTACCGCAGGGGCCTTGAAGCGTGACCCCTTTACAATGTAATCACGTGGCATAAGTTGCCTTTACTTTGTCCAGTTATAGTTAGGGACGTATTTCTCGCGTAACAGGCATTTGGGGTGATTCGTAACAGACCCAAACAAAAACAAAAATTTAAGCAGTTTTTGCATTTAAAAGCTTGAATTATTTCTCGAATCATCTGCTGCCTTATTCCAATACATTTACACAGCTCAAAATGCATTTTAAAGCTAGTTATTTTATTCTTCCCTCCAAAATTGAAAAAAGTGAGGTTAGGATTGACATAGCCGATCTGTTCAGGGGGGACCCTGGTGAAACTTTCAAGTAGGCTTTAAAATAATCCCAGAAAGTTGAAACTTTGCTTGATTATTAGGTTCATTATGGTGAGTTCATTAAACAAAATTCAATCCAAAATGTTGAACGGTCTCTGAGAAAAGTGGCTTTTTAGTGTTTTTTAGAGCGTTGGGGAAAAATCTTCCTGCGTCTTTCATTGGAACGGAAAGTCTTGAAAAATTTTTTGGGTTATCCTTAAGATGTATAGAAGAGATTTTAGTCACGGAATTTTCAATTTCATCTTCTGTCCTGAGATATCAATTTTCAAATGTTAACATTGAAAAAAATTGAATTTTTTGCCTTTTTTTGAAACTTTTAGGTGCGTGTTAAAAAAAGTAGGGCTGATATCAAGATTCCGTCACTAAAATTTGTCGATAAGTCATCAATGAATAGAGTCCATGCAAGACGACTCATGTAGGTGTCAACCAGAAACGCAGGAAGGCTTTCTACGACAAAATTTTTTGTCGACTGAGCAAAGCTGTGAAGTTGAGCGCATAAGCCAACGACAACTGATCTCCATGTTATTTCTTTCCAAATGATGAAGGATCTACCCACATAGTTTAAAGGTGTTCAACCTGTTGAATCTGAAACCTTCTTTTAACTATAAACTTTGAAAATACTATTTTTGGCAATTTTGGTCATTTTTTCACCAGGGTCTCCCCTTAATGCTGAGGCGGTCAACGGCAGCTTGTAATGTAGATTTTAAGGCGTCTACACGACATCTGAAGAACAACTGCTGGAGAAGATAACATTCCCGACGATGTTTCATTTAATGTGTAGGATGTTATGAAAAGCCCCATGGCTGTTACAAATCACCCCATGCTGGGGCGATTCGTAACAGCTTGCAAGGGTTTGGAAAGCGTCTTAGATTTCAAAGATTACGGATTCCAGATTGATACAATGGATGGAGCTGTATAGTCTAGATGACGGGCCAGACTGCTCAACTGGCACAAGTTAGGCACCGATGTGCAGAATGTTCTTTATTTTGTATAGAGAATTCCGAAATCTGTTACAAATCGCCCCATACTTCCTTACACACTTACAAACGCATGCTTGACGCCGTATAACTCCATGCGTCAAGCATGCGTTTGTAAGTGTGTACTTACAAGGTGTCCAACAACCATACCAATGTTCATTACACTTTTCAGCTCAAATGTTTAACTAATATCTACCCCTAGATTTACCTCTTTTCAACTTTAAGTTAGTTAAAATTATATGAACCTTGGCAACAAAGAAAGGTTTTTGATTCGTCTTTCGGAGATTTGGCTCGCGTAAATGGATTTTGATTTCCACAAGTTTTGCAAAAGAAGAGAACATTAACTTCACGTTAATTTTAAGTGGCTAGACGTCTTACACGAACACGGGGTGGCACGAGGGGCAGATACAAACCAAGAGTTCAAAAGAAGCGCTATTTTCAGTCCGTACGTCCTATATAATCGTATGGAAGCTAAAGAAGTTCAAATAAGTCAATATTTCAAAATTACCGAAAAATACCAATTTTACCGGGGTCTCCGTAAAATACGGTATTTTACCGTATTATACCGTTCTTTACCGGTAGTATTACCGGCCTTTACATCCATAGACTTTTTAGGTTGGGGAACCGGCTGGCCAAAAAATCTTCCCTTTAGATTTTGCCAGTAGAAAGAAGGGCGCTCTTTCGAATGGCGCGTCGCACGAGGCTCTACGACGTCGCGTTTGGACGCTACAGGCTCTCAAAGATGCTCAATTTCACTATTTTCACTGAAGATTTCAGCATAGGGCCCGTTTGAGGTAGACCATCGGTGATTGCGCTCCTCTTTGGCTTAAATGGTGCCACCCATAGGTCAACCCCCCCCCCCCCCCCCCAAAGAAAAAAAACTTCAGCCATCTCAGGCAATTATTAAAGGAACTGTGAACAATTAAAGTCGGCCATTTTACCACTATGCTTTGGTGGTTTGGGCACAAATACTTTTTTTTCTACTATCTCTATGTGATCAGCACCTCTTGACACGCCTTTTTATCACGGTGCCTCAAGACATTTTTTCCGTGACTGATGATAAATGTTTGCCCTTTAAACTAGTTTAAAGGGCAAACATTTATTTAGAGCTGTCTTGAAACTTCTTGGAAAAAAGGTTACTTTTAACAATAGTAATTTCCCTGTAACTGAGAAGAACAAAATAGAAGATAACTCATAATATACTTTCATTTTACAGATAATGGAAAAAAATGATGTCAAATTGTACCGAGAATGGGAGAAGAGTCATAACAAGAAATTTGTTCTTCATTCAAGGCGGGTCAAGAGGTGCTAATCACAAAGAGATAGTAAAAAAATAAATTCTGTGTCCAAAACCACCAATAGGTTATAAGCCTAGTAGTAAAATTAGCCGAAAACTTCGATTGTTCACAGTTCCTCCAATAATTGCCTGAGATAGCTAAAATAGGATTGGGACTTTTATTTTGGGAAGGATTGCTTTGGGAAAATGTCGTAATTTCTCCTTGCAACCCAAGTGCTACACATCAAGGGACTCGCATAGTTTCCCTCTTCAAGCTCTGAGAGTCTCCTCTCCTCGAAAACATCTCTTACTTTACGAATAATGGCTGGTTCTCACCTGCTTGGATTCAGCTACTGCCAGGCACAGAACGAACACTCCCGCCACGGAGACTGGAAACGATAGGAGGTGTTGGTCAGTACAGTACGTCATGCACTTCGAGGGCATCAGCCTTCTTTCGGATGTGCTGATAATAGCGGTAAGGGAGAGTGGGGTAGTTCCGGACGCTTTTTTTTCTTTTTGGTCTTTGAGCTTGAATATGCTTCTTGGGTCAAATGTTATCACAGGAGAGTATAGTATGGACCTTTACCTTCAAAATGGTATACATGAAAGCCAAATCTCAGCAACGGTTAGGGAGATGTGGGCGCCTAACAAAAGCCCTGCACGTATCCGGAATTGCCCCAGCCTGGGGTAATTCCGGACGACCTATGGGGCAATTCCGGACGACCTTAAAATTTGACACTACTCAAGCTTACTTTCGCTTGTTTTGATGTGAGGCATGCTTTTAGTAGGCGTACAAGGACATTTGCTGCGAACTGAAGTGTTTGATTATTACTCAAAGCATATTATAAGGGATAGTTTCTATCAAAACCCCTAAGTTGACAACAATGTCTTGAGTAAGGCTCTTAAACATTGCTGCAATGCTATTTTTCGTTATTTCTTAAGCCTTCTGAACGGTGGGGATGCATGTCCACAATTTTGAACCCACTACCTTAACATTATGCGGGAAATTGAAGAAAATAACCAGGGATCCTTAACTTATCTCATAAGGGCATCATAACGTTATGATATGAGTTAAAGTTATTACCCCTAATTTCTAACATCCTTTCAAAAGGGTAGGTTCTTTTTTATGTCTCGAATTTGTGTGGATATACTTTTGCAAGTACTTTCATAAGTCCGTACCCTTAACCTTTAGCGAACATTGTCTTATGTTACGTTATGAAAGAAGTGTTAGTTAAATGTTAAGTTAAGTTAAGGATCCCTGAAAATAACCCGTCTTGTCCGGATTTACCCCACAGGTAGTGAAAACCTTGGATGTTCCATTGTAAGAAAACGGCGAGCCATACGAGCACTCCCGAAACGCCAAAGTAAAGTCCAATGACCATTTAATATGAGAAAATTTTAGTCATGGGACTGAACTTGACGGTAAGGTACGATAAGTACATGGAAATAGGAGAGAAAGATGCAGCTTTTGCCTTTTTTTGATGGTACTCAAATTTCATGAAGCGACCACAGCCAAACGGTTTGACCTCCTATCTTGGCGGTTTGGAATTCAGGGATACTTAACTTAACATTTAACTAACACTTCTTTCATAACGTAACATAAGACAATGTTCGCTAAAGGTTAAGGGTACGGACTTATGAAAGTACTTGCAAAAGTATATCCACACAAATTCGAGACATAAAAAAAGAACCTACCCTTTTGAAAGGATGTTAGAAGTTAGGGGTAATAACTTTAACTCATATCATAACGTTATGATGCCCTTATGAGATAAGTTAAGGATCCCTGGTGGAATTATCATTTTTAACTGATTATCTTCCTCTGTTAGACGGGCCTTTGAGTTATCTTCACTCTAACCCAGTGAAAATCGAAGTCTCCGGAATTACCCCGTGTCCGGAATTACCCCACTCTCCCTTATACTAAACTTCAAATCTTCATACCAACACTGATAAAACTGAAGCGTAGCATTACGCTCTACTTTCAAGCATAATCATAATCAGTTAAGGTCCAGATTACCAGCATCTAAATGCATGGAGGAATGCTCGAGAATGCTTCAATTCAAGCGTAACGTCTTCAAGTGTAGCACAATGCTTGACTCACGCACAGTTATGGTTCAGGCATACAGGACATGAGCCCCGTCCCGTTTGAGCCCCGATGGTCTGAGCCCCGACCTGAGCCCCAACCTGAGCCCGGGTTGAGCCCCGACTTAAGCCCCGACCCAAGCCCCAATTTCCAGAGCCCGGATTGAGCCCCGACCTGAGCCCCGTTTGAGCCCCATTTGAGCCCCACTTGAGCCCCATTTGAGCCCCGCGACCTGAAATCACGCATTTTTGCATAATTTATTGCTATGGGGCTCAAGTGGGGCTCAAATGGGGCTCAAACGGGGCTCAGGTCGGGGCTCAATCCGGGCTCTGGAAATTGGGGCTTGGGTCGGGGCTTAAGTCGGGGCTCAACCCGGGCTCAGGTTGGGGCTCAGGTCGGGGTTCAGACCATCGGGGCTCAAACGGGACGGGGCTCATGTCCTGTATGCCATGGTTCAGTTTTACCAGTGAAGGCGCCACTTGGTAGTTGTTCCTAAGATTTGGTTGATTTGCCACGAGGAACAATAAAACTAGGGGTACGGTGTGGGCGCGTAGTGTGGCTGAGCGATGCGAATTCGGACTTTGCTTAACAAGGTAGGTTTACGCCAGACCGCGTCTTGTCGTAACAGGCTTCGCGATGTCTCGCTGCCTGTTCCTCCAATCCGCGCCTGGCGTACCTACCTTGGCCTGCGGCGCTAGCCTGCCTTCGGCAGGCCATGGCTTGCCCATCTTCGTTTACTTCTAAATTGTTGCATGCTGGGGGGCTCCGCCCCGCAGCCCGCAGACCCCCCTTCATTCCAGATAGAGTTGCTTCATCCACAGATAACACGATCTCTACCCTTGTTACTTTTCAACTAGCCGAGGCTGGAGGGCTCTGCCCCCCTGACCCCCCTTTCTTCAAGGCAGAAGGCATTTGCCGGCAGAAAACTCGATTTTTCACCGTTTTTTAGGTGTTTTTCGGCTATAAAAACTGAACCAGTTGAGCTAGGATAGAGAAATTTCGCGTGTGCCGAGCCAAGGACATAACCAAAAAGTGTGCAAAATCTCAGCCAGATCGGCCGAGCCGTTCAGGAGGAGTAGTGCTGACAGACAGACACACAGACAGACAGACAGACAGACAAAACGGGCTTCGCTATCGCTCAGCCAACAAGACGAAATGAGCAACTTATGGGCTTTCACTCTCAGACTCGTATTGACTATTTATCTCTTGCCATAATTTTCTCTTTGGCTATGCACTATTTTGTTCATTGTGTAATGTTTTTAGTCCATTAAACCAGACTTTTCGTCATTTGCAATGTACTTTCCAATTTTTGCGTAATCTATTGACAATTATATCCTGAAAACGATCAAAATTGTGCATTAGGGAGAAAATAGTACATTTTACGTTTGCTCAAAAAACGCTATAAGCAAAAGAAATGTAGGTGCGCGAAATGTAGGTCTGGGGTATGAATGGAAGTCAAGTGGTTTTCGTTATCAGCACACAAAGCTTTAAAAGCTTATTACCCTAATTCAAAACGACGTTTTGAATATTTCAAACGCTCTTAATTGTTACTTAATTGTAAACCTGAGATAACCTCCCGGGGGGGGGGGATTTAGTAGACTTTCGGTGCGAAATTTTGAAACTATTTGTGCGGTAGCTGCTGAGAAACGTGAGTGAGTCACGGACAGACAGCCAGACGCACGACCAGTCAGTTTTTGGTGCGCCCACACGCTCAGACCAACATGGACTTTTTTCTCTTTTGCTTCTAGCGTTTTTTGAACAAACGTAAAATGTACTATTTTCTCCTTAACTATGCACAATTTTGATCGTTTTCAGGACATAATTGTCAATAGATTTACGTAGAAATTGGAAAGTACAGTGCAAATGACAAAAAGTCCGGTTTAATGGACTAAAAACATTACACAATGAACAAAATTGTGCATAGCCAAAGAGAAAATAGTACATATTACGTTTGCACAAAAACCTTTATGGCAAGAGATAAATAGTCAATACGAGCCTGAGAGTGCAATCACGGCATGGGCTTCGCTATCGCTCAGCGAAAAATCTCCCTTGGGATAGAACTTTTCGTGGGTTGATTTCTGAGGCATATTCTTTCCTTGCATCCCCACCCTACTGCTGCAGAGTTAGACACAAGGATGTCCGAACATGGGTTCGTCAACGAGAAGCCCATGAATGGGGACGAGCTCGAGGAGTAAGTTACTTCCGCAGGGGCGGGGCATGTAGTGCAGTTTGCCTACGATCAGTCTTGCGGAGGGGGCTAAAAGGCTGAGAAAACGTTGAAAACTGTTTTATCGCACCAATTAGGGTCAGGGCGGGGAAGAACTGGACAGGGGAAGAACTGGACACCCCATATTTTACTTCAAATACCGTAGGCACAGGAATAACAACTATCAAAAGTTGTTCCGTGGCATCAGCGGTTCATTACACGACAGTTGTCAGGCCAGTTCATACGGCATTTGAAGTAAAATATGGGGTGTCCAGTTCTTCCCCTGTCCAGTTTTCCCCGCCCTGACCCTAGTACAATGCTTAGCATCTCTTGTGTCGCGCAATGTCTAATGCCTTCTCGTGCCTTCCCGTGCATTCAGTGGCTCCAACAGAAATTTCATTTAGGGAGAGCGAATGATCGCTGTGCCCCACCCAGCCCCTTAAAACCACCCCTTTTCCCTTCCATTCTTTCCCCTCTCCCTCTGTACTTTTCTTCCCCTCCTTGTCCTTTCTCTTTTCCCCTTCCCTCACCCACCACCGCAACCACCCACCCCAAATCAGGGCTTTTTCAGGACGTACGTATCGCACGGAAGCTGCCATGCGGCTGGCATCGCACGCATGGTGCGATGACTCAACGCATTGCACCATATAAACCACTCCAGCTGTGACACTGAAAACCCACCTAACATTGTGAACTTGATGGCCAACATGCTGTCGATCTCGGACGGCCGGTGCTAGACAACTGAAAAAAGACCTTGAACGAATTCCTTATATGTGTTCGAAACGTGGGTGAGTGACGTGCCGTCAGCACGAAGCATGACGCCGTGGCAATGATATGCAACGCGTTTCCACGAAACCGTGACGGAAACAACGACTGCCAACATGACAAGGTAGGTTCACGCCAGACCGCCGTCTTGTAACAGGCTTCGCGATGTCTAGCTCCCTGTTCCTCCAATCCGCGCCTGGCGTACCTACCTTGGCCTGCGACGCTAGCCTGCCCTCGGCAGGCAACGACTCGTCCATCGTCGGTTACCTTTAACTTGTTGCGTGCCGGGGGGCGAGCCCCCCACACCCCCTTTATTTGGGATAGAGTTGCTTTACAGATAACTCGATCTTGACCCTTGCAACTATTTGACTTATCCAGCCTGGGACCCCCCTTTATTCAAGACAGAAGCGATCTGCCTGCAGAAAACTCGATTTTTCGCCCCTTTTTAGGTGTTTTTAGGCTTTAAAAACTAAAAATCATTTGAGCTAGGATTGTGAAATTTCGCGTGTGCCGAGCCTAGGACATACCCAAAAAGTGTGCAAAATCTCACTGAGATCGGCCGAGCCGTTCAGGAGGAGTAGTGCGGACACACACACGCACGCACACACGCACGCACGCACGCAGACAGGAAAAACTTTTCAACCCCACCTGAACGGGCTTCGCTATCGCTCAGCCAATAATCGTAACTGCCAGTGCTGATCCAAGACAATCCTAACTGTCAGTGTGAATTTCGAGGGGGAAACAACTTGAAATAAGGTGTACATTTTTTCGGAAATAAGTTGAAATAAATTTGAAATGAGTGAAATAAGTTGAAATAAGTTTGAAATAAGTGAAATAAGTTGAAATAAGTGAAATAACTTGAAATAAGTTGAAATAACTTGAAATAAGTTGAAATAAGTTTGAAATGAGTGAAATAAGTGTGAAATAATTCGGAAATCCCCGTTATTTCGACTGCCCCGAGCACCAGGGGCCGCGTTGGGAGGGGGGGGGTGAACGGTGGCATACGGAACCGTGAACAGCAATGGGAACGTGGATGTGAATGTGTCAAGAAGCGAGGGTGGGGGCACGTGTGGATGGTGGGTGACGTGTGACGTTGTATGACTTAACCACAACCTCTCACTGGGCTAGAGAATTTTTAGCAGATGATACCTGCACACTTGAAACATACTTAAAACTGCTATACACATGAAGGTGTCAGTCTGCTTTTACTCTTGAGTCCAGAAACCAAGCGCGTATCCTATCAATACAAGGTAGGTTTACGCCAGACCGCGTCTTGTCGTAATAGGCTTCGCGATGTCTCGCTGCCTGTTCCTCCAATCCACGCCTGGCGTACCTACCTTGGCCTGCGGCGCTAGCCTGCCTGCGGCAGGCAATGGCTTGTCCGTTGTCGGTTATTTTTTGGCCCGCCCTTCTATTCAAAAAATAGGGGGAGGGCCTATGCATTTGCCTTTGTGTCGGAAGTGTGTGTGTTGTTGTTGTTGTTGTTGGCGTCTGTGTACAAGGAAGGAGTTGAGCTAGAGTAACCAGATTTAGAGGGTGCTTCAGGAGTACTGTCCCAACAAATAATCCGGTGGTGCAAATCCCGTCCGGGTCGCACAAGGGCTGCTGCAGGTGCATCATGGTTTACATGAGCGGGAGGGGGATTTCCGCCATTATTGGTGCTAGCAGGGCACATAGGGGTATTTTTGGAATCGGGGCGACGAGACAAGATGAATGGACCTGGTCCCGACACCATCGGCCGCTTTTACAAGTTGGCCAGATCAGGATCTTCAAAAAAGGGGGTCGACCGACTAAAAAAATTTATTGCAGATTTCGATGGGTCTCAGCAAGACCTTTTCAACGAGGGGTCAGAAAGGGGGTTCAGGAGCCCGACTTCGTCTATTAGTCACATCAGGATCTTGAAAAAAGGGGGTCGACCGACTGAAAATTTTTACTTAAGTTTTGGATAGGTCTTGGCAAGACCTCTTTAACGAGGGGTCGGAAGGGGGGTCCAGGAGCCCGCCTTCATGAGTTATGGGAAAAAGTGCGACGGACTCGTTTTGCGCTCCTGCTGTGCCTCTATTGCAAGGAGTTGCAGTAGCATGGCAAATGTGGGTATTTTCGGAATGAGGGCGAAGAGACAAACGAAATGGGCATATTCTAAGGACAGTTAGAGTAAAAAGTGTAAGGACTATGCATATTGTGAATAGAAGGGCGGGCCGAAGTGACGATGGTACATCGATAACTTTGCTTTACCCGCTCACGGTGTGTGTGATGCGAGCGGGCCGAAGGCCCGGGCCTTCGACTGGCCAAGTTGGGTCTGATGCGAGGGCCGAAGGCCCGAGAAAAGGCCGCCGGCAGGCCAAGCTGGGCCGGCCCCCTGTCGGACCGAGTTGCCGGCGCAGCGAAGCGGGTGAATTTGGAAGTATTGTAACTGCAGAGGCGGCTGAAACTGTTCAAGAAATTTGATCCATGAAGCGGAAGAAGGGGATAACTCAATAGAGCATTCTAGTGGTCGCCGATCGAAGAACAAAAAGAAGAACAAAACCGGAAGTCGGGAAGAAACGGAGTGGGTACACGGCAAAACCAACGTCCGGGTTTCCCAGGCGCACCCTGGAAAAATGCCATGTTTTACCAGGGTGCGCCTGGGAAACCTGGACGTTGGTTTTGCCGTGTAGAAACGGAGTGGGTATCAAGCCCGGTTCCAACGAGAAGTGTCGACAAGTATTTTTATTTCCTGTGTCAAAAAGTGTTATGAACAAACGAAAGTGCTTTTGAAACAGGTACGCCACAGAAAACTCGTCCACACTGAGAATGAAAACGTCACGATAATGACTAAAATTTTGGGCGAGGAATTCTTAATGACGCAACTTTGGGCGAGGAAGATTTACTCACCCAAATTTGGGTCATAATACTGCGGAGCCAGCTGATACACCTCTCCTCATCCAATTTTGGGCGAGGAAGCCTTCATCGCCCAAATTGGGTGAGGAAACCTTCCTCGCCCAAATTTGGGTAATAAGCAATACCTCGCCCAAAATTGGGTATTGATCATGACTTTTTCATTTTCAGTGCACTCATATAAGTCTGGGAGGTTATGTCCGTCAGGGGGTGGCAACGGCCTAGGGAGAGCGTGAAGCGATGCTCGCGCCGTCAGAGCAGAGGTTGCGCACTTCTTCGAGATCATGAAAACTAGGCAGTGTTTTTCAAAACGATTTGCACCAGTGGAAAGGGCTTGAAATTTAGGGTGCATTAGGCTAATTGCTCTTCTCGAAACTCCCCCTGACTTTATGTTAAGGTGCAGTAAAAACACCGAAAAACACGAGAAATCATAAAATTCTGGAAAAACTCGAATGCGCCATGTTAATGTAAATGATTCCGCCTTCGTGTTCGGTTGAATTGGAAGTTTCGGGCAGTCTACTAGGCATAATGCACCTTAAATTTTGTACTCTTTTGATCTGCGCAAAGCGTTTTGCAATCAACGGGCTAGATCTTCCAATCGAAGCAAAATAAGTAACCCCTGCATCTCCCTCGCGCATGGCTTCACGCGCTTCCTAGGCCGTTGCCGCCCCCTGGTTATGTTGCCGGGGCCAGTTCCGGCTTTGTTCTTCTTCTTGTTCTTCGATCGACGACGAAGAATACTCTATTTTCATCATTTTTCAGGAGACACAAATAACTGTTTGCAGGGTAATCTTAATCCTATCAGATATGACGCAATTGCATTTTTGTCAAGAAAGCCTATGAAATAATTGTGAAAATTTTCTCAAGTGTAGCATTACTCTTTTAGACGGTTTCCATGATTTAAATCTTAACGTTGGAATGGACTACGGAACCATGTTTACTTAGTTCTCCCAAACAAGGCGGAATTTAGAGACAATTCAAGTGGAGCTGAGATCTGCATAGAGTCTATTTCCCTGGTACATTTTTGGAGTTACCTCTTTTTTCCAACTAGTGATGAGGAGTCAAGTTGAGTTGATTCTTTTTACATTACATTCATAAAGACACAACAGGGATCCTTAACTTAACTTAACATTTAACTAACACTTCTTTCATAACGTAACATAAGACAATGTTCGCTAAAGGTTAAGGGTACGGACTTCTGAAAGTACTTGCAAAAGTATACCCACACAAATTCGAGACATAAAAAAATAACCTACCCTTTTGAAAAGATGTTAGAAGTTAGGGGTAATAACTTTAACTCATTGGCTGAGCGTTAGCGAAGCCCTTGCCGTGTTTGGGGGCGCCGAAAGGCGGCTGGTCGTGCGTCTGTCCTCCGGGCGGCCGGGGGGAAGGGGCTGGGGATGGGGGGGGGGGTCGTCATGAGGCTAACAATTTAGGTTTCACTGCGCCTAAACCGCTGGACCGATTGAGTTCAAATTTTGTGGGTAGTTACCTGTTAGGGAGGACTTTACTTTGCAGGTGTTAAACTTGACCCCCACCCCCTTGAACGCCCCCACCCCCCTAAAAACGATGTTGACCATTTTTTACTTCTGTACGAGCCACATGAAGTGATGTGCGAAAATCAATCGTTGCGGTGGGTGGGGGCAGCCTCCAAGAACGACCCCTCCAAATTTCAGCCCGATACTACTAATAGTTTTTGTCTGAGAGACTTAAATGTGATAGGACGTGGTGCCAGCATTTTGGCGTTTTGTCTGTCTGTGTGTCTGTAACTCACTCACGTTTCTCAGCAACTACCTCACCAATAGTTACCAAATTGCGCATCGAACATCTCCTAAACCTGCTACAGGGGGAGTTTATCTCGGTTTAACAATAAGTATCGTTTGAAATATTCAAAACATAGTTTTGAACTATAGGTTATTCGCGTTGTTGAGTTGGTAGCAGCGAGTGGCGGACCAATTTCTCATACCTGCTGCCGCGCTTCTAGCCGTCTGCAAGACGGGACGGCACTTCTGTAAATAAAACAAACTGAAGAGCAAAGGGGCTCAAATAGGTTCTGAGTTAGTTTTTATAACGTTCAAGAATGATTGAAACCCTTCCGGAGTGTCAACATAGGAAAATACGAAAATTGAAAGTGAGATTGGTTTGCGTGTTTCGTTCCCCTCTCCCC